GATGTGCTCCCGGCTCTTTTAACACTGCCTGGCTTTGAGTAAAGTCACTTAGGACCTTCTACTTCTAAACAGGGGCCAAACCTTCCCACAAAGGGTTTGTGAAGAGGGACTTAGGATGTCATGAGAGCATACTTTCCACCTTGGGTTGTTGAACTTGTTTTGGGGTTGGGTTGTTGGGGTCATTTTTACCTTTGCTTTTTTTTTGGATACTACACATAAGCCATACATTCTTATGCTGTGCTATTTAGAGAGACTTTAGCTAATCAATTATTTCTAGCTGTGTCTCTGTGGAGTACTGAGGAAGAAAAGGGACCAGGCTCCATATAAGTCTCTTGGCTGGTTTATAAAAATGTTTTTCAAATCCAAATGTACTAGCCCTTTAGTCCACATGGATAAATCACATGTTTCAAGCACCATCTTGAGACCCCCCCCCATAATGACATTAAGAAAGGCAGGGCTGGCTTAGTGGACCCGAGCCCTGTGCTGCTGTCACAGCCCGTGGAGGGCAGGGCTGCCACAGGGGAACCCAGTGGATCGTTGGAATGTGACCTTCTCACACAGCTGGTGTGGTCTGGGGGTGCCACTCTTAGTGGGATCTATTTGTGGAGAGACTTGGCTGACCCCCTTAGAAGTCCGAGGTACCCCCTCTCCTTCAGCCTCCCAGGAGTTTGGCGCCTGCTGGGAGATGTGGGTGCCGGAAAAGAGAATGTTTATGAGCTCATCCCATGGGAAGGGCTCCTGGAAGCAAGGGGGGAGATCCGCTGGGCTGCAGTTGATGGCAGCGGAAGGGCTGGCCTGTCGGGGCAGAGATGCAGGGAGCACTCGGCAGCTTTTACAGAGTGTTGCTTTCCCCACTGTCCTGGGATCCAGCCGTCAAATGAACCACCTGGTGCCTCGGTTGGGGCGGTCATTCTAATGGAATGGGAGACAGCCCCTTCCTGTCAGAGGAATGTTTTCTCTGAGGATTTAAAACAAAGAAGTTGAACTTGAGTACCAGTGAGAAATCGTTAATTCTAGGACTTAAAAGCCTCCTGCAGTAGGTCCAGGGACTTGAGGAAGAGGGCAGCAGGCCTCAGAGGACCCTGTGGGGCAGAAGCGCAGGGAGAAATGAATTCTTTGAGGACACGCCTCCTTCTGGGAGGAACACCTTATATGTTTGTGTCTCAAGTGCTGTGGTGTCTGGGCTGCTCGCCTTTTTACCAGGGAAAGTGTAGCCGTGGAGAATCCCAGGTTTCCGTGATACCAGCTGGGTAACAAGAGGGATTCAAGGATTAAAGGGTTTCTCCTAATAGCAAGGACTGCACCCACTACCAGTGAAAGGGCAAGGTAGTGATAGGTGGTGCAGACAAGGCCCTCCTGGGGGCGGGGGGGGGGGGGGGGCGGGCAGGAAACACCGAGAATTCCCGGGAAAGGAGACACCACGAGCCATTTGAATGAGCTGGAAGCCAATCCAAAAGGAGACATGGTGACGCTTGGTTCCCTGCACGCAATGGGGAATGGTGTCAGGACTGCGTTTTCCTCCCTATTTTGGAGAAGAGGGGAAACGCAACCCTAATGGTGAAGATGGTGGAAAACAGCTGGCCCGACTGAGAAGGCAACTTGATTAGTTTGAGAAACTGACACGCAGCCAGCCTTTATCATCCAAGCTCCCCCGACCCCCAACCCCATATTCTTGGTGGGGCGAGGGAGTTACCTATAGTTGTGTATGCAGGGAAAATAGGCTCAGAAAGCACCTGGACTAGAGCAAGAGCAGGAACCCCAGAAAAAGGAGAGCAGAATATAGAACTATTTTTCATACCTGACACCCAGTTTCCTGCTGCTTCGCTATTATTTGAAGCTATCACTCAAACAGGAACTTTAATCACATTTAGGAAATGAGCCCATTGTTCACATGGATGGCTTCATATTTTTTTTTCTTTTTTTAAATTTTTATTGGGTAAGAGTGTTTTTTCCAGGACCCATCAGCTCCAAGTCAAGTCATTGTCCTCCGATCTAGTTGTGGAGGGCACAGCTCAGCTCCAAGTCCAGTCGCCATTTCACTCTAGTTGTGGGGGATGCAGCCCACCATCCCATGTGGGCATCGAACCGGCAACCTTGTTGTTCAGAGCACGTGCTCTCACCAGCTGAGCCACCCGGCCGCCCCTGGCTTCATATTTCTTAGTGCATCGAGCGACTGTTTCTAAGACATGCACAGCAACAAATCCGCACAGGCCTGCTTCTTGGTGACGCCTGGTGAGTAATAACCTGGGAGCCTTATGTTCACTCTCGTGACAACTCAAGCATGAGCAGGTTCAGCTGCAGGGAGATGAGCTCACCTGCTGCCAAGTGAGGGCGGCCCACCTCTAATGCCACTTTTCTCGGGAGATGACTAAGTGTAAGTAGCTCACAGCTAATTACAGGCAAATCATTGCGAAACACCGGAGAGAGAAGCTGGGAATAAAACTAGGCCTATTCATTAACGTGACCCCAAAATCTTGGATTCTATTTCAGATCAGTTTTGTCTATGGGATCCAGAAATCACTTCAACCTCTCAGTGATTCAATTTTCTTCTGAAAGGAAAGGAAGGCTGACGGTATCCACTTCATAATGCAGTTTGGAGGTTTAGAGGGAACTCTTGGGACATTATAATGCAGTCTCCATGAGGCAGTCATTTCTCTTCTACAATGAGTTTTTGAGAGTTAAATTGATTCCCTATTCTCTTAACACTCCCAGGAAAAGAACACTAGAATAAAAATAGCATGCATCCTTTTCAAAATAAGTTTGCAGAAGGAAAGGGATTAGCTAAGTTTTCTTACCAGGGCTTTAAAAATAAATTACTTCTGGAGACACCAACTCACACCAAATGGCCCCAAAGCTGACCATGGGACCTGGGGCGGGGGGGGGGACGGCAATTGTAGACATGGGTCCTCAGCACAGACCCAGCCTGGCTGTGAGGGTTTTGGTCCCTGTTTTTTGGGGGTGGCGCTTGTTTACCACCAGGTGTCCACGCTACCTGGTTTAAGTGATAAAGATACAATGAGTATTAACGTGAAGTTCACAAACTTTCATAATAAAATGTATGATTTGATTCTCATACAAAATTCAGTTAGCCTACTACTATTTAAAGCACAGATATATAGTCCTATGATTTTAGAACGTAATACATGATTAGAATTTGTTAAGAGTTGACAGTGGTTTTTGATTGTCTCCAAAAGCCTGAGTGATCATGTCTATTTTTATGTGAAAAACCCCAAAGGGGTAGTTCTGCAAATGTCCACCATGAACTGCAGTGTTTACAGAGGAGCCTCCCATGGCCCCCCAAGTCCCCGTCTCCCTGCCACAGGCAGAGTGACAGGTACACTAAGACTCATTAGTAATAACAACAATTAGCAGTTATATTAGCACTTAGAGTGGAATTGCTCAAAACCCGGTTTCAGTGTTTTCCACAAAGTAACAAAAGTGTCAGTGTATTTAACACCTCTCATCTTGTAGGTGCTGTGATAGGTGCATCCTGACTTGGGGCCTCTTTTTTAAAAAAAGAGAAGAAAAAAACCCAAAAACACACACAGACTCAAACCAACTCCTCAAGAAGGCAGCACCTGTCTGCCTCGGACCTCTCAGAAGGAGCAATGATGGTTAAGGACCTTGGGGTGTCAAGTAACGGTGGGCAGTAACCCAGGGATCGGAGAAGCGCTTGGGGAGGGGGTCATGCCAGCGGTGAGGGGCGATTTCTTTTTTTCTTTTTTTTTAAGATTTTTATTGGGGAATTGGGGGGATGGGAACAGCTGGGGAATCGGGGAAGGGGAACAGACAAGTTGCTGTCCTTTTGTTCTTCCGTCTAGTTGTGGAAGACGTTGCTTCACTGGCCCAAGTTGGCACCATCCTTGTGTTCTTCCCGGGCGAGGCAGATCAGTCGCCGGCTTCTGAATGGCCGCTCACGCTGGCTGCTGGCTACACACGGTAGCCCATGGCAACCCACTGCCACAGGAGCTGCAGCCTACGCTGTCGCTGGCGACTCACAGAAGCCCAGCTCCAGGTTGAGCTGTTGTTCAGCATCTTAGCTGTGGAGGGCAGTGTCACTGGCCCTCATATGTGGGATCCAAACCGGGGCCCTCTGGCGTCCCCAGCCAGTTCCCAACCATCGCGCCACTCAGCTGGCCCGGGGCGATTTCTTAAAGGACACAAGACCCGTCTGAATTCTGCACACAAGCAATTGATTTTTTTTTTTGATCTGCAAAATTTTATTAAGCAATAGCTGGACAACTCTTACAACTTCAAATCATCAAGAAAAAAAAAAGAAGACTGATCCATCTCAATAATAAAGACAAAGTAATTTGGACAAACCACGCCATTTTGAATGCAAACCGTGAATGCCTTCTAGAACTTCCATCACAATCTAATACACAAAATACATAAGAAGAGAGGCAAAACAGGGCGAGCTCATCAGAATGCAATCGGGAATCTCAACAGCTCTTGCTTGGAAAGTGAAACAAAGCAGGATGCTGAATTGAAAACAAACAAACAAACCAATGTTAGAGGAACCGCGGCGCACAGGGCAATACGCCGTTCCCGAGGTCTGGGCAGGAACATGCTGGTGGTCTGGTTTGGTCTGGGACCTGTGCACTTACAGTTTAAAAGGAAAAAAGGAGAACGAAAAGGCCAGTAGTAAGAAACTCAGAAATTATATCCAAATTTACAGTACCAAAATAATGCATTTATAAACAAATGCAAAAACAATACCCCTTTGGTAAATAATACAGTGCCTTTTTCAGTCAAACGCACAACCCATGCTTTTCTACAACACAAAAAGAAATTTATCTACAATAAACGAGATCTTAGAACCCTACCCTTCCCCTTTAAAAGAACTTGTAAACAGAAAATACAGGTACAAGTAAAGTTACAAAAAAATTGCACAAAGCCAAAGAAACGAAAACAAAAGAAGCCACAACCCTTCAGAGTTTTATTAGCTGGAGATAAGGAAATACATACATGGTGAAGAGTTCTGAGTTATGTGCTATTACAAACTCCCAGGAACTCAAACGTTTTTGATACATTTTGTCTCCACTGACTGTGTTCAGAGTCATTGCCTTGGCCAAGTGATCGACAGCCCACACAGCCACATGGGCTCCTTTCCCAGATACCTCCTGAACTTGAAGAGCTAACAGTGCAGAGCACACTCGGGCCTAGACGGCTCAGGCACACGCTCCTTTGTTCTTTCTTCAACCCACTCACTCTATGGTCTTTGGGGCAAGTGGTGACTTATCTTAGGGCTGTTCTCAGGGGCGGCCACGGAGTAGGGCGCACTCGTGGGGAGGCTCCTGTCTTACCTGGAATCGGTGCTTTTGTGTAATTTTATGAGAACAAGAACAATTCCAGATGCATTTGTTTCTGGAGGTGAATCTTTTAGAGAGAGTATTTTAAATGCCCTGATTTACATTCAGGAGGTATCTCATTAACACAGGAAAAGAAACATTTTTCTACAAAAAGGCAATGTTTTGAAGCATGCCTTCCAAGTTCGTGAAATGGGATGATGAAACTCACATTTTGAGCCTCAGGCTGTTCGAGCTGGACAGGAGTGGAGAAAACCGTCCAGGTCATTCCTTTCACGTTGCAGAGGGACAAGTGGAGGCCCAGCTCTGTGGCAGAGCAGGTTCATCCTGGATCTCCTGACTCTCTGCTATGATCACAAGATGAACGGACACGGGTTTGCACGTCCCCATGGGACGCTTGGCAAGGGAGCAATGAGTGGCCATGGATGAAAAATACTAACCTGAAGACCCTGACATACACTGCATTAGAGCTGACATTTTCTGCTGCCTTGGTGCCAGGTTTTTCAGGATATACATTCAATGGGTATACGGTACACAAATCTGTGTCTTTGGTTTGATGAGGTTAAAGTTAAAACAAATTTAAAATTGGTTTTTATGTTTGTTAACATATCACTTCCCTCAAAAAGGCATGTATTCTTTATGCAGTTGACTACTTACTGGGCTAACGTTTTTAAATTTAGGGATTCACTGAGGTACCTAAATATTCATAAGCTGCTATTAATAAACTTAAGTATGTAGAATTCTGCTGCTTGAAGTACTGAATTCAGTAATATTTAATAAATCGAGACTGACTGAGTGAAAACAACTTTTACAAAAGTAAAAGCATCACAGTTAACTTAAAAGACACTGCGGTACAACTGTGCAGACATCTGTGTACGTAGGTTTGGCACCTGATATCACCTCTTCCTTTGGGCCGAGCGAGCAGTTGGGCAGCTGCTCACTCACGTGTGTGCAAAACACCCACGACGGGCAGACGCCTCTGTTTCCACGTGGGGAAAAGTTCCTTCTGGGGAGGGAGCTAAGAATTCAGTAAGTTTAGTTTTATTTATTTGCTACAAATACTCACTTTGTCTTCACACATGTATTTGTAATTTTTATTACAAGGACTTCCCCCTACATTTGCTCTTAAGAAAAGTTCGAAAATGTACCCTTTCATGGTGTTTACATCTCAAAAACCAATCAGAGCTTTCAAAACTGAAACTTATTACCCATATTTCCCTCCTTTGCTACTCTCATTTTAAGTTTCCTTTCACTTCACATCACCTTTTATTTTTAGTGAAAAATAAATTTTCAAAAGAAGGGGAAATGTTATTTTAGGATAGGTTATCTCAAAGAAATCTCCTGTGTATATATAATCAACACCCCAAAACGCAAAAAAAAATTTACTTTTAAAGGATTAATAGAAATTTTTTCCCAATTAGAAAAAGTTACAAACTGTCCAGCAAAAAACCCTTCTATCATAGCCTCTTTATTTCTTGCAGCAAAATATACTGCTATGAAGTAAGTCGTTACAAACATACTATTTTTCTAAATAAATAATAAAATGGGCATAACTCACCAGTACATAGCAACAAAATCATTCCTAGGAACACTATTAAAGCAAGATAAATAATTATCTCTTGGACAATGAAACAGGGAATTGCATTTAAATTATTTTAGAAATAGGCTGTAACCATATTGCACAACTAATAATAATCACTGAAACGTCATATCAAACTACAGAAACTCACATAAAAGAATTATGTAATTCTGAATACATTAATAAATTTTTTCTGGAAGAATTTACCCACCAAGAAATCAACTTCAATATTTTAAAATATAAGATGGGAAATTCTGGTATTAGCTGGGAGATGGCCTTTACCATATTTAAGACCCTCATCTGTGTTTCTCCGGGGGCTAGAGAGAACGGTGGGCGATGGAGGTCATCCTGCTCTGGGAAAGGAGTGAGCCACTTTCTTTTGTAATTTTTAAACCAAAACAGAGAATTAAAAAAAAATTTTTTTTGGAAGTACTTCTCTGTAGTATCTTCCATTTCTGTTTTTAAACAAAACCCAAATTTAGGACCCGAGGCCAGTAGACAGTTCTTGAGCTCCTGCCCTAAACAACATCACAGACATGAACAGCTGGAAACCAGGAACTGGGCCTTGTCACCAGGGCTGAACGCTGCCCAGGGTGTCCCCTGAGGACGGGGTGCGGGGAGAAAAGATAACCTCAGTGGATTTTATTTTTTGCAATTAACAAAGAGCAATAAACCAACCACCTTAAATACTCTAATTTTAACCATGCTCTCCCAGTGGTTTATCTCCTCTGTAAAACAGTCTGTACAGTTCGTTAATAAACAACTTTTTTCCTAGAGGAGATTGTGGGACTTCGGTGACAGACTTGACAATAACTCTATCTCTTAATACCCTAGAAAATGCTTAAAAATTTTCGGTTACATTTCAATCACTTGAAAAACGTTTCTAGCCCACTGAAATTTAATGTAGCTCAGAAGAGGAAAGGAGTGCTTTCAAATCAGTATCGTCAGCATTTTTAGTAAGAGAAAGTGTAGAAGTGTTCTCTAATGGGAAAGATAATGTCTACTGTCACATTTTCCAGATAAACAGGCTATTTATCAACAATAAAAGGAGACAGGGAATAAACGTTACTTCTCAGCGAGTGGGAACCCAGTGACTCACTCACCCAGGCACGAGGTGTGAAAACCGCTGCCCCCACCGCAGGCTCGGGTCTTTCCTCTTTTGTCTCTTACCTTCTCCTCGAGTCAATCACACTGAACCTATGGAAATTGTGACAGATTATAAGACTAGTGGGGTCTTCAATGTAAACATCCTCCAGAGAGGAGCGTAGCCCTTGTACTATTTCAAGTCACTCGACGTAAATCACCCACGTGTATGTGTGCAGGACTTCCTTCCTCACCCGTCATGCCTCCCCCTACATATCAGGAGCAAATCATACTCAAACCTGGTAATAGCACCCCTGTAAAAGCCTACTTTTATTAGACAAACAGTGCATTTGCCAAAATACCCTTCATTAATCAAGTCACTTTTGGAGGAGTAACAGAATTCAATGTTGTCCCCCCAAGAGAACCTGTACCTTCAGGATTTTTGGTTGTTTATTGTAAAAGTTTCTTGTTTTTACACTAGTGGTGATGCTGTGGAGAAGGAAACTATTGCGCACTCCTTATGTCTTGAAAGAACAGCGGCTAGAAGGCAGTGCGTCTTCCTACCAAGGGCCCCTCCTCCGGAGCTGACCCAGTACATGACAAGCAATTACGCTTCCCAAAAATCTCCAGACGCCTGGCACCTTTGCTTCCAAAAACACTCTCCTGTATTTTTTGTTGTTTCAAAGGAAGAAGAAAAGAAAGACAGTAAATGATAATAAAAGTCCCAACAAACAACGACGACAAAGGTCAGTGGCCTCTCCTGGGCCTGACAGACTGTTCCAGTTTGCTCGCGTCTTCCGGTCGCCCAGGCACCGGGCCCAGGCGTGCTGCTCCAGCACCTGCGTTCCCCACCCCGTTCTCTTCACTTCAGGCGCTGAGTCACGTTGGCCAGGGCGACTGCGAAGGCCTGCACGGCTGAGAAGGGGTACTGGAAGTCCAGGATGTACGCGCTGCCGTCGATCCTCCCAAACTGCATCACCTGGAGGGTGACGGGGCAGCAGTGAGGCAAAGACATGACAGGGAAACCAGGTGGGGCAGGGCAGCCAGGTGTGCGTGGCTCCTGAGGGAAGCCGGCAGCCTGGTCTATGAGATAGTTTTGCCAACAAAAGTGACACTGATAGGCTTCCAGATCTAACTACGAGTTTGTCGGAAATAAAGGGACAGAGGAACATGTTAAGCAACGCAGTGGGGAGACAATGAGCCAAACTCAGAGCGTGGGAAGCTCCACAGGTCAAATGAAGTGGTTTCCTCACCAAGGGAACAGATAGAAGCAGAATATAGCACACCTCCTTCCCATCGTGCTCACCTCCCTAGCCTGCTTTCCTTTGTCATTTCAGTGCTTCCAGTGACCAAATTATATATGTGACATTACAGTCCATGTATTTATTTGTTTATGGCCTTTTTCCCATTTTTGTAAACTCCATGAGGACAGGGCCTTGCTCCGTTTTCCTCATTGCTCCAATTTCTGCACTTAGAGCAGGGTTGGCAAACCCTCTGTAAAGGGCTGATAACAAATGTTTTAGCCTTTGTACGTCATGTGGTCTTTGTCACAACTACTTAACTAAGTTGTTGTAGGATGGAAGCACACAGACACTACTTAAGTGGGTGGGTGTGGCTGTGTGCCAATAAAGCTTTATTTACAAAAAGAGGCGGCAGTCCAGACTGGCTCGTGGGCCATAGTTTGCAGGTTCCTGGCTCAGAGGAATGCCAGGCATATAGCAAGTGCGCAATCAATATTTGTTGGGTGAATTAATGAAAATGCGATTTAAATATGAGAAGGGAATTCCCAGGATGGTGGAGAAAGGTAGTCCCAGAAAACAGCTACACAGCATGGCTAGAGCCACTGCTCCATGCTGGAGCGGCAAGAACTGACAGACTCCCCAGTGTGTTTAACTGTACTGTGAGGAGATGGGTATCCTGTCAGAGAACCGAATGACTAGTGAATGCACACAGAAACATGCAAACAAAACCCGGTAATCCTTATGTCTAGGGAAAAAACCTATACAATAAAAAGGGAATGTAATGAAAACATACTACATGGCTCAGCTGTGAGTCGTATTACTGGCGTCGTAGGGTAACCAGTGACTATTAACTAAGAAAAGGGGGGAAGGAAAGTTCACACGTGTGTATGCATGGGCTGGGGGTGAAGAAAATAAACCCTCACGTTCCTCAGGAAAAACTCAATACATGATGCCAAAACTGAATAATAAATAAATACAAGTAGGAATGTGTTCTTTACAAATATGGTGGCAAATACTGGAAAAAAGCAAGCAGAGCTGGAAGCATGTGCCTCTGGGAAGCAGGCTTTGGGAGAGGCCAAGGGCGGGTAGGGGCCTGCTGGTCCTACTCATGGGTCTATAGGATCATTTGACTTTAAAAAAATCAGTATGTGTGACACTTTGTTGAGAAATCAAGACAGCAACGCGCACACTGAAAATGACAACCCGATGGGCTCCACCCGAGGATCAGCGATTTTCTACCTTTCCCGGGTGGCCTTTGGGAAACGCTCCTCCAAGGACAAAACTCTGAGACCCGTGACCGGGTTCTGAACCGACAGAGACCTGCTGAGGCCAGGAAGTCGCGATTCTGGCCAGGCCCCAGGACACGCTTACCTGCCGCCCCTCCAGCTCGATCTGGAAGTTCTTAGCTGACTCCTGGGTCACCCGTCCCCCGAAATCCAGCTGGTACACCTGGGTGGCCTCGTTCCAGAGAGGCTGCTTGTTGGCCATGACGTACACGAAGCCCTGGCTGCCCAGCCGGCCGTCGTCCCGCTCGCTGGCCTTCCGGCACTTGAACTCCTCCAGCTCGCCGGCCGCCCGGAGGCACCGCTTGCTCTTCCAGCCTTTCTTGCTGCCCTGGCTCTGGTTCATCAGCTCGTCCCCGCTGATGAACAGCTCGGGCTCGCTCTCCGAGCTGTCCTGGAACTCGTTGGTCTTATTCAGCTTCTTCGACTTCAGCTGGTCTTTCTGACTCTTCACCTTCTTCTTCTCTCTCCCCAGGCGGGGGCTGGAGATCAGGGAATTAAAGTCGCTCAAAGTCCGCGTCTCTTTTTTCACCTTGCCCTCCGTGATGGCCTGGACGTTGCCTTCCTCCGCTCGGCTGTCCAGGCGCTTCCGGCTTTTCTTTCCAAATTTCTCTGTCCGCTGGGGGACTGGGCTTTCCGTCAGGGAGAGAACCTCCTGGAAGTTGTCTGCGGTCTCTACCATCACCTCTGTACCTAGGTGGCTTTGGAGGTCGGTGGGCGGTGGGGACACCAGGGGCTTCTCCACCACCAAGTGTGCCTTGGGGGGGAGAGTGCCCTGGGGGTTCTGAACAGGCGGGCACGCGCTGTAGGAATTCCAGGGGTGCAAGGCGATAGGTGGCAGCTGTAAACTCGAGCACGTGCTGCTTCCAGGATACATGGGGGGCAAGGTGCAGTAGGAGAGGCTGGGTGGGTAGGCAGGCTGCAGGACCACAGTGGGCTCCTGCTGTGCAAACTGTGTGGGGGACAGCGTGTCTTTTGGGGAGCAGGGAGCCTGCACTCCTGGCAAAGTGGGGGTGTTATAGCTTACTGGATATGGCACTCCCATCCCATAGCCTGTTTGGAAAGTGGCAGTGGGGCTGGCGGGAGACTTGGGGGAGACGAAGGGCACTCGGGACACGTCCAGGTGCTGGCTCTGACCTACCATCAGAGGGGACAGTTTCAGAGGATTGGGCACTGCAGTCTGTGCTGTCCTTTCCTGAGGCACCCAGATGTCCTCCCCCAGCACAGGGTCCCACTGGTAAGGGGGGGGGCGTTTTGCGGCCACAGCAGCTTCGGGCAGCGAGGGGTGCCTCAGGGGCTTCTCCACAGGACAGTGCTGGCCCAGCGCCTCGTCCTCGGTGAAGGCCGAGTTGACATACTCGGCGCGCTCGCGGGCGCTGTCGGGCGGGCTCAGGAGGCTGTAGGAGGACTGCGAGGCCAGCGGGGAGGTGCTGGCCGCCTGCGCACCCCCAGCTCCCGGCTCGGGTCTCCCGGCCGGGCCCCCAGCACTGCACTGGCTGCAGGTGTAGAGGGCAGCCGGGGGTCTCGCCGGGAACTGCGCGGCGCCCTTGGGCTTGGCGGGGTGCTGCAATGGGGGGTGCTGCAAGGGCGGGTGCTGCGGCAGGGCCCTTGGGGGCTCGGCCAGAGCCGCCGCCTTGAGCGCCACCTCGCGGTTGTTCCTGCGCAGCGTGGCGTGGATGAGGCCGCTGTCCAGCCGCTGGGACGCGCCGCGACCCAGGCCCAGCGGGCCGGCCAGATCAGGATAGGGAGGCGGGTCGCCTGTAGGGATGGAGTAGCGCGGGACCGTCAGGCGGTTCAGGGTGGCGCTGGTGCAGGGCTGCGGCGCCTTCTTCTCGGTGGCGGTGAGCCTCAGGGTGGCCGAGCTGCCCGGGCCGGGGAGGGCGTAGGTGTTCTGCGCGCACAGCATGCGCGTCCGAGGCCGGCACACCTCTTCCACGTTGCCGCTGCTGTCGAACGTGGTGATCCGCTCGTAGCCCAGGGGTGGCTGGGAATGCGCTGCCGTGGGGTACAGTGAGAAGTCGCCCTTCTTCAAGCACACGTCTACGGGGGGCTGTGGGGGCAGCAGTGGGGGCGGAGGTGCTGCTGTGGTGGGGGCAGCGGGGATGGTTCCTGGGTAGGGGGGCGGAGGGTTCAACTTTGCCACCTGGACCTCCTGGGGGGCGCCGAACACGACTGCGTCCCCTTCCGTGGTCAGTGACGGCGCGGGCCGCAGCGCCTTGACTGGCTTCTGCAGGTGCTCCTGCTCGCGGTCTCCTCCGTGGTCCACCACCGACAGCTGGAGCGCCCCCTGGGCCGGCGGCGGCAGGGACAGCTGCGGGGGGTTCGGGATAAGACGGCCCATCTCCACGCCTCCGAAGATCACCTGTCCAGGGCTGGAGTAGCGGTTGGAGATTGGGTACTGGGTGGCACTGTCACTTGTGTGCTCAGCTGCCCCCACGGCTGTGGTCTGATTGGTCAGGACGTCCAGCTGCACGTTCTGATTGGCCAGAAGCGACTGCACCAGTCCGATGCTCTGCGTGGGGGACATAGCTTGCGCCGAGCTGTGGATGGGCGCGATGGGGATGTTCACGGTACAAGGTGGGTTGTTCTCAGGAACGCCAGATGCTCCTGTCACTGGAAGGAAATGAGAGAAACGGGTTGCTTACAAAACAGTGAATGAAACTGGGTCAGAATAAGCAGTGCCTCTCAACTCATCCAGTCCTTTTGTATACAAAATGCAACTGCTATAGACGGAGATGTATCTGCTTGGGGAAAGCTGGACCGTTCACACAAGTTACACACAACTTTGCCCATGTTTCTGAAGGGCATCCAGGCAATTGGCAGGCCCAGCTGGGCAGCCTACAGTCACCCATTAGCTAAGGGCATGGTCAGGGCTTTTCAATGAATACACTTTTGAACCATGTACCTGAATGGTTCAATTTGGTATCATGTGCCTGAATGGTACCATGGCAAATGCTTAATAGTTTAAAGATGCTTTTCACTCATGATATTCATAAAACAGCCCACTCTTTTATGTAAGAAGAAGGCAATGATACAGTATGAAACCCACTGAGGACTCAAGTCTTGGCTTCCAAGTAGGCTTATCCGCGGTCATGGACTGGTCCATGAGGGACATGTCATGCAGCAGCCGTGTATCTGAAATTCATATGTAAATTAAGTTCCTGTAAATAGAACTATGTAAAATGGGGTAGAGAAACCAGTGACAAGAATCCTCAGCAAATCTGTATGCTAGGGGGAAGCTCGTTTCCAAATTTGTCTGGTTTTCAGCATTTCAAACAGCACGGAAGGTGGAGCCACCCTGAACAAGCCCTGTAAACACACCCTATTTGTACCCAGCTGGGATTTAGCGGAGCATGCCCTGAGCGACCACCTGCATACACACGCCTGTGCTCACGGCCACCGTTGTGTAGTGTCCTGTCTCACTGAGCTCACCGAGCACTGGCAGGTGTGCTCACCTGACCTCTCTAGGTGTGCTCACCTGGTGTGGCAACAAGGACATGAGCGGGAAATAGGGCTTAACAGGCTGATTGTCAAGGCTGCTGACCTTTCACCAGAACTACTGAATGAAGCCGGCCAGTCCCAAGTCTGTGGTGCTTGTGACAGGCATTTCCCCCACCCCCTTCCCTGCGGTCCTCTAGTGAGAGGTAACCCTCCCCTGGCTGCACGAATCTGGCCCTGTCTCAAGTTTGCTATTGTTCTGTCCAGATGCTCTCTGCTCAAGGAGAGATGCTTTGCTGTGTCACCAGCATTGTAAGTCCCAACACAAAATGTTCCCTCCTCTCACTGAGAACCATGGGCAGTGAGGACAGCAGCAGAGACAGCTGAGCACTGGAGAGCTACACTAGCCACATCCTGGGAGGGCAAGGAGTGGGTGAAGGGGACCTTGTAAGAGCGACTTCTCAATCCAAGATTTTGAAACGGCAGGGGATGTGCTCTCAAGTTCAAGTGTGTGAGGTTTCACTGAACTGCAGGTACATGTGGTTGCAAAGCCTTGCCCGTTAGGGCTGTGTTAGTGTGGAACACCAGCTCCACCTATGAGACAAGGTGTGCCATCAGAGAACCAAAGGCGGCTCCTGTCACAAAGCACAGGACAAAATTTACCTCAGCTGAGAAGGGAAGCCACTCCCCCAGCTTCGGAGCTGTGAGGATGTGTGTCCCTTCCTGTCCCACAGCGTGGACCAGAGCCCCTCTGCTCAAGAACCACCGGACACAGGAGGATGTAGGGCTCCTCTGGCTCAGACGCCAGGCTTTCAGAACCTTGCTTGGTTTTAAGTAGAGGAGTATCCACATTTGTAAAATTGAGAATATTTACATACAAATAATTGGCAGATTAGTTAGAAATCATTCTTATCTGTTAATCAAAACAGGATTCCCTCCACTAGAAAACACTTATTATAGATATGTGAACATTTGTAAACTAGGATTTTAAAAACTTGTATCAGATTTTACCTTTAACTCAGACCAGGCTTCTATGCACTGACATCTACACTACAAGTTGGGAGAGAGGTGTTTAAATGTATAGGTTTCCCCCCTGGAGATGGGGCAGGTTTGAGACGCCGGCTCTGCGGGCATCACTGGCTCGTCTGAGTGATGCCCTGCTCTCAGCAGGGCATGAAAGGCCGAGGGCTAGCCTGGGGTCAGTGAGACTGTGTGCCAGCAGTGCAGCTCTGACTTGACTGAGTCCCGATTAGTCCTTTAACTTCTCTTAATCTGGCCACATGACTAAGAGGATTACTGTGAGGATAAATGAGATGGTAGAAGTGCTCTGCGAATAGGAGGTGTCACAGCCACCTTAATCACCCTCGCTCTGGTAGCTTTCCTCCTCTCGGAACAAGCAACAGTACATGACCTTTCTCCTGGGACATGCCACTACCCCACCCACCTTACTGAGGAAGTTATGCCTTTTTCAAACCAAGGCAGCAGGCACAGGCTGACATGTATAATTCTGTTGGGGGAGGTCATCAAGAAGGCATGACCACTGGGTGACCTGAGAGCTGGACCCGGGCCACTGGGGGCTCCCCGTCCCTGGAATGTGCATTCCACTTGCCCTTGTGGCTCCCAGAAACTGCCTGAAGGACACAGCCTTGAGGTAGAAATGTGGCATTGGGACTATCTGGATAGTGTACGTGACTGGCCTGTTAGGGGTTCTACATAAACTTTTAAGATTCTGGCAGCAGGTGCGGAAATCTACTAGACTAGTCTTGCAGCATTGTAAGTTCCTTTGCTCTTTTAAACTGCTGCCTACCAATCTGGAGGGCCTGCCTCTTTCTTTGATCTCTATCTGCCCTCCTAGTAAGGGGACTGGTTTCAGATTTCACCTGGAAAGCTCCCAAGGAAGCTGTGAAGCAATAGCCACTCTGTCCCATCATGACCCACTAAGAGAGGGCTCATGACAAACGAGGTTACGTGTGAGCATACCTGGTAAATCATCTTCATCTTCACTGAAAACATTCGGGTTGAAGACAGGCAAGTTAACATAGTCCATGGAAATCTTCCGAACCTCTGGGAGATAGATGGTCATCTGCCGTGGCTGGAGATGCAGGAGGCTGGTTTTATAGATTACTGGTGGGAGGAGGAAGGTGGTTAGAAAGATGGAGGAGGGCCAAGCGCCAACAGAGACACAGCGGCGGTTTTCCTGCCGTCAGAAGACAGATCTGCACAGTGGAGGGCAGCCCTCCAGCCCCGGCACATGCATGGCCACCCCAGCCACCATCTGGGCTCATGACCACGTTCTCGATCTAGCCCAGACCCTTTGCTGATGGTTTGTCTGTAGAACCACACATTTAGAACATTAAAAACCTACCTTAAACTTAAATTCTGTTCTGGAATGAGCTAGGTTATGATACATGTATTTTTTTAAAACCTCATTTGCAATCCGGGGAATGATTTAGTGACAGCAGTTGTGATGACCAGAGTGCCAGGCTCAGGGAAACTTCGGGCAATCGAGGGTCTGCTTGCAAGCAGTGAGCAGGTGCGGCATGACAGGTATCAGGCAGGGGTACAGTGCTGCCTTTACGCAGGACTGGGTCCTTGTCTTAATGGCCTTCAATTTCAATTTCATGGTCAGCATAGAGATTTACAGGAAACTTCCAAATGGTTTCTTTAAACGCTAAGATTATTTTAAGAGAAAACCTAGATTGCAACTAAAATAGAGGAGACAAAATAAGTTAAAAAATAAACCTGCATTTAAGTTTCACAGTAGGTTAAAATCAGGATGAAACTGCCTGTCAACTCTCTTTTATGTTTAATACTCTGTCCTGTGAGGTATGTAGAGGTTAATTATTATTATTATTATTGTTGTTGTTGTTTTTGTTAAGTCAAATTCTATCTCTGCAGCTGTCACCTTCAATGGCCTGTGGCTGATTGGCCAGCATTCCCACAGCACGGCAGGCCTTCCATTGTGAAGCACCTTTGTAAGGCTGGTCGTTGGGTTGGTGTGGGCTGAGATGACCCCAGTGGTCATCACTGGTCTTATTCACGTGTTCATCTCTCTTGCCCACAGAAGAGTGTGAATTTTGGCTTAAAAATTCTGGATAGTTCCATATAGCTTAAGAACTAATGCATTAAAGTGCCATTCTTTGTTGCTCAGATTACAAAGAGAAATAAAATTAAAAATCTCTGGAGGGATTGAAAAATAACATCAGTTGCCTCCAGGGGGCAAAAATGTAGGTGGCTAGGGGTGAGGATGAGAGATTTTACTGTACTATAATCTTTAAAATCTTTTGAATTTAATCCACATTTTAAAAATTAAGAAATGCAAACAATTAAAAATGAAAAAATTACATGGGCCCAATCATGCTAATTGCAGGAAACAAATTATCCAGTATGTGAACAGCACTCACTTTTTAAATCCACTAGAGCATTGAAGATTGTTCAATAGGGAGCCACAGGTAACATACCTTCCAGACTCCAATACTTTATTTCCTTTCTTTAATAGAATCAAGTGGAAAGTTCCTTTAGATTAACAAGTGAATAGTAGTAGCTGAAACACTCTTTTTACAGAGGTCAATGACCGGGACAAGCTTTCCCTGCAGTCACGCAGAAAGACTGTGGACGCGGCATTGCCTCAGAGGCACTTACAGGCCCTCCCATCTTAAGGTCCTGGTCGCCTTATTCCTGGATCTACTCAACATCCAAGGAATAAGGGCAGAAAAGACCCATTCAGTAAACCCTCACCTTCGTTCCAGTTTTCAGTGTTTACTGTAGACAGGTGGCTCAGCTCAGCTTACTGATGTGGGGGTAACCACGACAGGCACACAGTGCTGGTTGGAACCAACTGTGTATGTCAGTAGGACACTATTAAATAACTCAGAAACAGGCTTTGTGGCCATCAGGGAGTTTGCAGGGTGTTGAAAATATTCTGAGACATTTGTCCGCATATGTACAGAAATAGTCTATTGTTATTTCCTAAGTCGGTTTTATGCTTTACTTTTATTCCTCTCATTCTTTGAGCTGAGAAACCTCAAAATGAAAAATCCAAATGCAGCACTATTTAATATGTCTCTGAAGATGCACACTTAGCAATGGGTCTTTTTAAACATCTGATTTGCAAAAATAATTTACCTTAAAGGATCTAAGAGTGCCTGAAACAACTCTTACAGGCAGATTCAGAATTTTTCAAAAAATCATTTCTGTAGGTTACACAGAGCACTTTCAAGATGGGGTCACCAGCCACGGGTGAGCCCTACCTGGCTAAGTGAGCCTTTCAGGGACGTGCGTGCGTGTTACATGAGGCAGCCTAGCAAGGTGGGAACACCGCTCCTGGGCCCACACAGGGATGTGCCCATCAGGACGAAGTTGCTTTGAAAGGGGCCTCTTGCCCTTTCCCTCCTTCCTGTCTGAGTAAACCTGACAAGTCAGTGCTCCATCCGGAGCACAGATGGGGGTGCAAATCCTGGGTTCCAGCCCAGCTTTGGGCTCCCTGCTTCCATATCCCTTACTGCCTCAAACTTTCATGGGTAGGACGTTTATCTGGTACTTAGAAATCACATCTATAAAGATTTGCCACTGAGAGCTGTGCTCACAGCCAGCCAGCTTCTTCTTATAGTCTTAACACTTTCTTTTCGACTTCCTTCAGGAGTTTCTTTTAACTCAGGAACCTGAAGACCCTGGTACCAAAACCTGCCCACAGTGAAAGGCCAGAATCAAAATAAAGAAAAACCAATGATAGCTTTGATAGAGATCTTGGCTATTTCTGTCATTTTTATAAGTCAGGGCTTATATGAAGACACGAAAGCACGACTGGCAGAAAGCCAATGTGAGGGAGCTATCTGATGTTTGTGAAATCACAGTGGCTGATGTAAAAGTTTAGAGATAAAATTCATGCTAGTCTTTTGATGTCCTAAGAGCTCATTTTCTCCTTTAGGCCACTGAAGGTTGAAATTATTTTTTTTTTTTCAGTCTGAGTTCCAACTGGGACAGTGGGCAGAGAGCAGGACATGGTTTTTACCTGCACCAAGGTTGGTTGGCAGGAAAGCAGCCAAGCCCACAATCTTAAATTTGGTTCCCCAGATATTAGACGTGACCTGAGCGAGATAGTTGTGCTGTGGGAGAAAAAAAAGAAAAATCACAATCAATTTCATACTGTCTACTCATTACTTACATAAGAATGTTAACACTCATTGCTTAAAAAGCCACAGGTGTGCACTGCTGGAAACACCATTCTCCATTTCATTCAACCGTTTCGAAGACCAGAAGTTAACTGCAGCCGGCAAGCACTGCTTTCACAGGGTGGCTCACCACGCTGGGAGGCCTCAGGTTGGGGGTGAGCAGCAGGTGTGTCTGTCCCAGTGCGTCTGCATGTGTGTTCCAAAGGCCACTGAAGGGATTTGCGCCCTTTTCCGTCACCTCTCCTTTCCCCCAACAGCTGGACTAGAGAGGGACTGGGTTTGCTTTTTGTCTTTGGTGTTTCTCTTGGAAACATCAGCTGTACTGATACCATCCCATCCTGAAACTACCCAATTATCTGTTTGCTCAGTGAAGTTTAAAAGAATTTAATAAGTTACCACCGCGCCCACGCCATGCATGCGTGTATGTGTGTGTGTATGAGGGCCTCACGAAGATAAATAAAACACGGCTCCTCAAAGAGCATCACCTAACGGAGGAGGTAAGGTGCGTAAGTTTGCACACAGAGAAGGCACTGAGAAATGTCCTAAGGGAGCTCTAAACAAGAGGCTTTGCAGTGAATGTGGCTGAGCCAGGGAAGGAAGGCTTCACAGCAGAGCTAAAGCGAGGTCTGGAAGCATGTGGGCTTCCAGTGACCCAGGCAGAGAAAAGGCACAAAGGTGGGAAGAGGCAGGTGTGGCTGTGTCACCTGGAGGTGAGGTGGTGCCTGAGGTGGCAAGGATGTCCTGTGGGATGTGGAGCAGAGGTAACGGGCCTGCCTGGAGGAGGACAGAAAGGGCTCGCGTATCTACGCCGGTGCATGGAGCTGCAGTGACGGATAGGGAGCTGGGGGTAAGGAGGCGTGGCCACCATCCAGCACGCACAGGGGAGGGAAGACGTGCAGGGGCGCGTCGGCGCCTGTGGTCAACCCGGAACCGAGACGCTACCTGAGTGATGTCTTCAAAGGGAAACTCTCTTCGTGTCAGGCTGGGTGAGCCGATGGACGGCTTGCGCATCGGCAGCCGAGGGGACCTGGACATCTCCTGAGCAGCCCGCGACAGCTTGGGGGACTTCCGAGCCTCGATGTTGATTCTGTGCAGACAAGGCAGGGGGTCAGGCACCCAGAGCAGGGCAGGTGCGTGTCGCCCTGGCCCCAAGGTGCCCGCACCCCTGCCACTCTCCTTCACTTTCTAGCAGTCACCCATGGGTGTCTCATTCTTAGGAGCCAGGCCCGTTAACTTAACCAAGTTGCTCCTGCCTGCTTTTGCGTTATGAACAGGAGGAAAGCAGGACAGAGTTGCATACTGAATAATACATATTCGAAAATACAGTGAGATTAGATCAAGTGACTCATTTGTACAGAACCCCAGAGAATTAACTGTCTTTCACTTGCCACTGACTTACAGTAAATTTGGAAATGTCCATGCGCCTTCTGCCAAGGGGCTGACAATGGCAGGTGGGAGGAGTCATCTCTCACCTCACGGCCACAATGACTTTACAATTCCTAATGCAACCCTTGGGTTTCAACAAACTTATCTAGCATTTCACCAGCTGCAATACTGAAATCAAATACTGGTTCTCAGTTCTTCTGTTTATGCCATGGGGACACATGTGTTTAATGCCAGTCTGGCCCACAGAGAGTGTTATAAAGATGAATATGGGAAGGTTGATGACAGTCCATGAAAGAGAAGCATTAAGCCTCACCTATGCTGTTGAAACCTTGATATCTAGCACTCCCAAAGAATGGGAGGGCAGGGGACTGAGCAGGCTAAAGCTCTGTGAGGGGACAGTTAGCCTGGCAGCTGCTGGGTGTAAGGGGGTTCAACGCAGGGAAGGAGGACTAGCTTTGCGGCTGGCAACATCCAGACACTTTCAAAGGGCATTTACAGGTGACGGATTTGATTGCTTATACGTTAAATGTCCTCTCTGCTTAAATAACAGGAAAAGCTGGGACACTACAGAAATGTTGGAAAGTTCACAATTTTATTTGCAATTTAACAAGTTTGGAACAAAGATGAAAAAAATCAGATTGCTGAAGCAACTGGATATCTATATGGGGAAAAAAATGAACGTTCTCCCCTAACTCACAAAAATTAAGCAGAGGTCTAAGTGTGAAAGCTGAAACTATAAAGCTTCTGGAGGAGAACAGGAGACTGTCATGACCTTAGGGCGACAAAGTTTCCTAAACAGGGCACAAGAAGCACTAACCATACGAGAAGAAATTCATGTCTATATTAGACTATATGGCAGCCCATATATCTGATAAGGGCATCACAGCTAAACTACATAAAGAATCTTACAACTCAATAAGAGAAAAATAACTCAATAAAAAATGGGCCAAAGACTTGAACAGATACTTCATAAAGGAAGATGCCCAAATGGCCAATTAACATGTATAAGGCTGCTTAGCACCATCAATCATTAGAGATATCAGGATTAAACTACAATGAGATACCACTACACACCCAAAAGAATCGGTAAATTATTTTTTTAATGACAATACAATTGTAGGTGAGGATGAAAGCAGCTAGAACTCTTATACATTACTGGTGGGAATTTAAAATGGTCCAGGAACTGGGCCGGCTGGGTGGCACAGTTGGTTAAGAGCACGAGCTCTGAGCAACAGGGTTGCTGGTTCGATTCCCACATGGGCCAGTGAGCTGTGCCCCGAGCTGAACTGTCAGCAGGTGGCAGGATGGCTCAGCTGGTGAGAACGCGTACTCTTAACAACAAGGTTGCAGATTCGACTCCCGCATGGGATGCTGAGCTGTGCCCCACCCCCCGCAACTTGGATTGAAAGCGGTGACTGGACTCGGAGCTGAGCTTGCGCCCTTCACAACTAAGGCTGAGGGACAACAACTTGGCTTGGAGCTGATGGATCCTGGAAAAACACAGTGTTCCCCTCCCCAATTCCCCAACAAATTCTTTAAAGAAAAAATAAAATAAAATAAAATGGTCACGGAACCTTGGAATAGTGTTTGGCAGTTTCTAATAAAGTAAAAGACAGAGCTCCCCCATGGTCCTGCAACTCCCATCCAGGTACACACCTGAGATGAAGGAGTGCATCTCTGAAAGATGCTCACAGAAGACTTACAGAAGATCTGTAATAGCTTCATTCATTAGAGCCTAGCCCCAAACTGTAAACCACCAATTACCCACCAACTGGTAAATTGTACTATATTCCCTAACAATGGCAAAAATCCCTCAAACTATTGACAGACATAACACGAAGGAATATCAAAACCATTATACTGAGCAAAAATGCGCCAAATAAAAAAAAAAGTCCATACTATTGGGTTGTTGGAAAAGTCATGACGCATTTTTTCTGTGTTTTTTGTTGCAAAAATGCATCATGACTTTTACTTTTCCGACAACCCAATATTTGGCTCCATTTATGTGAAGGTCAAGAACAAGCAAAACTAATTTATGGTGACAGAAGTCAGAACAGCGATTACTGTTCTGGGGGTGGGTATTGAATGGGAGGGGCACAGGGGAACGCCCCAGGATGATGGACATGTTCTTTACCTCCAGCTGAGTGGTGAATACACTGGATTACTGACTGCACAAGGAACTATGTGCCCAAGATCTGGGCAGATATGTATCTGCATGTAAATTACACTTCAATTTCACATGGCATCACACAGTTTTAGAGCTAAAGGGGGATCTTAATGAAGATCTTTTCCACACATGCACTTGCGCAGACAATTATGGAAACACATTCAGGTCAGGCGCTGTCTGTTTACACAGCCCACGGGTGGCAGAGCTTATCTTATCTGCAACAGCACAGGCCCTTCCACCACCTCTGAACTTTCTGCCACTCTTTAATACAAACCTTTAGGATCAATGGGGTTTTTCTCCCCATAATAGCATTATAGGGATTCAATTGGCATTCTCTTCACACATTACACATTTAAGACCTTTTTCTTATTTTTTTCAAACTGGAAAAAAAACAAGCAAGCCAGGGAGTTTGGGCCACACCCCCCGCCACCCATCCTCGGTGCTGACCCCTAGAGAAGTCCTGGGGCTCAGAAAACTGCCTAGTCTTTCTGTCTTGCAGAAAGAACAAAGGAAAGCTGTCATCACTGCAGGCTGACCTTGCAGATGGAAGGTGGGAGTGCCCTCTTGTCGGGCTCTCCTGGGGTTTGTTTTATTGCGATTCTGCTGCAGGCACAACACAGACACACACACCTCCAGAGGTGCAAAAAGGAGAGCGCACCCCTGAAGACCGAGATTACCTTGGGAGTTTGGGCGATTTACTAGCTCGGGAGATTTTGGGAGATTTCTTGGCAGCCCAGTCATCACTCAGTTCGATGTCACTGGAGTCTGAGCAGTTGCAGCTGTCGATCACAGTAGAAATCAAGCTGTTCCCATAGATCTCATCTGGTAAGACACCAACCAGCAAATCTCAGGGAAGTGATATCACTTAGGCCTTAACTAGAAACTAAGGAAATGCGGACTCTACAGGCCATCATTTTAAGTCTAAAGGGTGAAATAGAAAGGAGCATTGTTTGCCTTTTACACTTGGATGATATTACATTTTCTAAGCAAAAGTACGCAATTCTACTGTTATCAAGATGGGCATGGTATTTTAACGCCCCTGGAATGTACGAAATAGCCAAAAGCCGAAACCAGAACGGCCGCACTCTTGTGCTTCACAACACACCAGGCGTCCCCTTGGGTTCCGTGGGCTTTCGGGCTGCCCAGGCCTGGGAGAGGGGCTTGCTGACACCCAGACTCTCCCAAGAACTTGCTTCTGACCTGGGGCCTGGGAAGACCCCTGCTGGTTCCCAGCCTGATCCAGACTGGAGATCTGACAGAACCACTTAGGTCTGGTTGTAGAACAGTCTGCTGGAACTGCCACAGGGTTCCCTGTGGGCGCTTGGCTGCCACACTGATGGAGAGACCCGCAATGGCTGAAAGAACACCTGCGCAGTAGGGCTTTCGGGGGTAGCGCTGGATTCTGCCAAGGGTGCCTGTAGCGAAGCCACTCAGGATAACTTTGCCAACTGGCCATCAGGCAGACGATCAGAGGCCCCAAGGCAGAAGGCAATGTGCCCAGAGGCGGGGCCACCATAGTACTGGGAGTCGGTCAAGTTCACATCTTACACCCTCCTGGAAATAAATCCCTTCTCCCGCTGCCTTTCCCACACCCCTCCCATCCCTGCCCTGCCCCTGGGCCTGCCCTGCCCCTGGGTCTGCCTTCAATGGAAGTATCCCGTTTGTCAAAATCACTTTGCTTTGCTGAGGGAAGCCTCATGCCCTTAATGCTCCAAGAACCTTGCCAGGTAACAAAAAAGCTGAATCATTCAATCATGATGAAATAATTTATCGAACTATAGACGAGGAGTGGTTTTACTGCTCAAAAGGGCTGTTTACATTTGAAAGGATGAGTCTGTTAATCCAATCTCTAAGTTTCTGAACATATGGAGGTGACATCTGTGAACAGGGACCTCTCTGAGGCCACTGGGGGCAGAGCAGAACTGCTTGGCACACAGCGAGGAAGAAGCTGGCTGGTGCCTAGTCTGTTACTGCATCGGCCCTTCTTAAACCACTTGCCGAATCTGACTGCATGGCTCGTGAATCCTGCAAGCTATGGTGCTGTGCCTTTGAGTCCAATCAAATAAAAAGGCTTAACTCACATGCCCCGAGCCGCGCTTTACATTATTTCATTTACAAGTCACTGGATCAGAGGAAGCTCGGCTACGCTCCAAACATGCATTAAGCCCCCAGAATTCTTCCATGTTTGTTCATAAGCAGAGCGGTTCACCGACCTGAGGAAATTCAGTCAGGCATCGTCCACTCCACTCCTGCCTTATTCGTTAACGCCAGGGCAGCAATTCTGCAAATGCTCCCTGCCATGTGTACTGCTGCATTTCTCCTTTACTCACGTAGTGGTCCGTTCGGGCTGATATAACACAGTACCACATACCGGGTGGCTTCTAAACGCGAACTTTATTTCACACAGTGCGGGAGGCTGGAAGTCTGAGCTCAGGGTGCCGGTGTGGTTGAGTGCTGGTCACGGCCCTCTTTGGGTTGCAGACTCCTGACTTCTCACCATGTCCACACATGGCAGAAGGGGCTGGGGATCTTTCTGGGGATCATAAGGCACTAACCTCATGATTATAAAGGCTCCACCCTCATGACCTAGTCACCTCCCAAAATACAGTTACAAGCATTCATCTCTACTTTCTGGTCTGTGTCCCCTCAAACTCTTGTCCTCATGTGCAAAACACATTCAATTCCATCCCAACAGCCCCAAAGTCTTAACTCATTCCAGCATCAACACTAACACCTAAGTCCCATCTAAACATCTGAATCAGACGTGGGTCAGACGTGAGACAATGCACACTGAGGTCGAACTCCTCCAGCCACGAACCTGTGAAACCAGCCAAGCTGCGTGCTTCAAAGGTACAGCGGTGGCACAGGCTTGGATAGACAGCCCCATTTCAAAAGGAGGAACAGGAGAAAAGGAAGGAGGGGGGCAGGGAAGCAAATGCAAAGCCTTGTCAGGCAAACTCCATGAGGTCTGAGGCTCGAGAACAATTCTTTGGTTCAATACTCTGCCCTCCCAGCCCACTGAGGCGGCAGTGTCACCCCTATGGCTCACAGTGGGGATCCCTGAGGCTCTGCTGGGCTAGTTCTTGTGCTCAAGGCTCCAGGAAGAAGCTGTCTGGCATGCTGAAACCCAGGCAATGGCCCTGATGTCCTGTGAACTGCCGCTGGGGTCACTTCTCCCTCTTAAAGAACAGTGTATGTTCCTGGTCAAATAGCTCTCTCATCCCATCCTGTCAAATCCATGATGTCCAACAGCCGTCCTTCATCGCATCCTGTACGGACAAGCGAGAATTTCCCAAATCTTCACGTTTTGGTTCCTTTTTGCTTAGCATTCCTTCTTCAATTCATCTCTCGCTTTTCTCATTTTACTATAAGCCGTCAGAAATCTCCTCAGTTAAATATCCCTTTTCATTGGCTTGTGAGTTTTATCTTCCACAAAATCCTAGAACACAGTTTAGACAAGCTCTGTGCTACTTTATAACAGGGATCACTTTCCTCCAGTTTCCAGTAACATGTTTCTCATTTCTGTCTGAGATCTCACCAGAAACGGCTCTAGCATCTACATTTCTGGCAGGTACCTCAAAACTCTTCCAGCCTCTTCCCATAACCTAGTTCCAAAGCTGCTCCCACGTACTTAGATATTTGTTACAGCAGCACCCCACTTCCCAGTACTAACATCTGTATTATTCGGGGGGTTCTCCAGAGAAACTGAACCAATAGGAGATAAATATAACACACACACACACTGGGGCGGAAGTCACAATGTACGCA